CACAAAAATTTTTGTGTCGGTGTAATTACATGCGATGCAGTCGAGAAAAAGATGAGAGCAAAAATAACCCAAATGCTTCACATCCTCCGCCAAACTAATAAGCAGCTGGTTTACCTTTTGGATTGTATAAATTTTGTATTTCAAGGGGGAAAAAACTCAAAAAGTAACTGAGACCTTGACTGCAAGTAACAAGCGAACCTTATTTTTCTTTATTCTGTTTTCTACTGGTGATTTTAAGCAGCAAGCAAATCGGAAACTAGGAAGAAGAAAAACATTTACCTGAGCGGGCGGGCGGAGGATAGAAAGGGTGATGCCAAGGCTTTCGCCGACGATGACCAGAGAAGGAAGCAACTAGGGCTGCGGGCTGAGTTCTTTGTGTTTCCCCCTCTCTCCGTTGGTTGGGACGGGAACTGCGATCGTTTTTATGGTCTGCATTTTGTTTCTTTGTCCCTGTTTCGGATACACCTCTCACAACACGGCTCGAGTTCGGGCTCGGATTTTCCTTTTTTTGATTCCTATGTTTGACTAGCTATTTATCTCACGCTAGGTGTAGTTCGGACTTCGGATTTTTTTTAATAAAAAAATTAGATATGCAAGTATTTTCAACATGTTTTATTACATGAAAATATTAAACTTAAATTAAAAATTTATGTTCATAGATTATGAATCATTTTGTATCGATAAATAAAAAAATTATTAAAAATAATTAAAAATATATAATAAAATAAAATATTAATATAAATTAAAATATTTAATCTTGCAGTACATATTATTTACTTAATTGTATTTAATAATTGTATTTATTAAAATAATATTTTAATAAAATTATTGTAAATATAAACACACATAAAATTAATTAAATAAAAATCAAATAGAAGAGACATATCACAAAGTTACTTTTATAAATTATTTTTTTAATCAAATGATAATAAATATAAACACACATATAAAATCAATTGAATAAAAATCAAATAGAAAAAAACATATCATAAAGTTATATTTATTAGAAATACTATCCAAAAGTTAATAATTTTTATTTTTAAAAATAAAGTTCAATTATATAAAACATAAAACAATTGTAGATAAATAGAATAATCTCTTAAAAAATTTAATACATACAAAATATTTAAACAAACAATCACTATTTAAAAAGGGCTACGTATATGCAAAAAATAAAAAATAAAAAATTAAAGAAAAAAAGTGTTAACTAAAACATTGTTTAAAATACATATAAAAAAATGTGATTTAAAAAAATAATAATTACAGATAAAAAAAAAAAGCAGGCATCACTAACCTAACCCATTTAGTGAAGGCTCATGTGAAGATCCTGTTTCTTTTTTAAAAATATAACTGGAATAAATAATATATCATATGTTCTAATATTTTTTTGAGAAAAGAATCTTGGACAATTTCTCATATGGTATTCATTTGATTTTGGTTATTGTGGTGATATGAAATTTCTTAAATTTCAATTATTGTAGTGGTTGGAAAAATATGATATATGTTTTTTTTATCCAAATACTAGTTTTCCACTTATTTTTAATCTAAAATATACAGAAAAGAGTCTATACATATTTACAAACTCATAGACAGCCTTTAAAAAACAACAAAATTAATCTGCAACTAAAAAATTTCTCAAACCCTCAATTTGGTTTTTTAGATGCTTTTAAGGTTAAAAAACATTTAAATAAAATTTTTATCACCAAATAAAACTATTTACATTAAAACCGAATATTTTTACTATCATAGTCGATGGTAATGCCAACTCTCTTTCCCTGTTGTCACAAAATTATGATCTTTCTCTTTTCTTTCAAATTAAAAAATAAAAAATAACAAAAATAAATTAATATATCAAAATTAAATTGAAAAATATATATATCAAAAGGATCAAATAGATAAAAAAATATAAAGTCTGAGGAGTGAAGTGAATAAATTTGATCTCACTATCTTTTAATTTTGTTCAAAAAGAATATAATCACATAAAAAGAATTAAAAATCAAATAAAAAATAAGCCATGAATCTATAATAAAACATAAAAGGATGAATAGCTGTGAGTACAGAATGTTTTGATCATATGAATTAAAGTCTTGTATAATAACTTTTTATGAATGAGAACTTGGACAGGGACTTAGATGCACATCAATTATCAAATAAATATCAGGCACACTCTAAACGCAACCAGAAATTAAAATTCGTGCATCCAGGTAGTATTCTAAATGTTATTAATTTTATGATTTGTATATTAATTGATGAGGTTTTAAGTTTATATTTTAAATATTATTAGTTTAAGCTTTATAAATTTTAAAATCATTAAAAATTTAAATAATTATTAATTTTAGAGTTTATAAAATTAATTAAAATACACCCAAGCTAGTCTAAATATTAATATTAATAATAATAAAAATGCTATAATAATAACAAAAATGCAAGGTGTCAGGATTCGAATCGTGGTCTTATGAATTTTTATAGTCTTACAGCCTATGAAACTCATTTTGTGAGTTGTTCAGGAGAGAAGGGTGGAATTGATGCGTACAAAACCCATTTTTAATTTTCACAGGCCCTGCGGGCATGGCTTGTTCAAGCCCAGCCGGATCTCCTCCTGTATCCAAACGCTGGGTTTCTAGATTCTTCTAAGACCCCCAGAATTCCTCTAGCTGGTTGTCATAGATCAGTCGTCATAGTAACCACTTACGATTGTGTTTATTTTGCCTTTGGTTATTTTTACAAGTCCTCTGCTCAAGAAATGACAAATTACCCTGGTAAATTTAATTCGCTTAACATTCAAGTTGTAAAATTCACATTGCTTTCTCAATTGCTGGAATATTACTAGATCAGGCATGATAATGTTTCTGATTAACCAATGAAAGATAGAGTTTTTGTCATGGGCTCAATTAAAAAAGTGTGTTTTCTCTCATGCTTTAATGCCAGCAAGCGTTACTCTATGTTCTCTCCATGTTATTCGTATTGAAGCTTCTTGTTGTAGTACTCTATTTAGATTCATTAACCACTGCTTGCAAATGAATTGGTGGGGAGGATTTTTCTTCATTTCTCTTTGCTTATTTTTGCAGGAGCTGGATTGTGCGCAAATACGATCAGAAACAAGTCCTGCTATCGACCCCACTTGTGTTAACAGGTATGCAGTTTATACTTCTATTTATCTATTTGGATTCAGTAGCCACTGCTCGTGATTGAATTGGTGGGGAGGATCTTTCTTCGTTCACTTTGCTTATTTTTGCAGGAACTGGATCGTGTGCCAATAGATAAATAGAAGTCCTGCTATCAATCCCACCTGTGTTAAGCAGGTATGCAGTGTTATACTTCTATTTGCTAGACCTCTTTAGGATTCAAGACTGTTTTTTGTTCAATGCAATTATTTCAGGAGATTTAGGTTGCTCAAAGTTGCTGTTTGAAGTTGTTTCTTTGGTTTTATCTGTTCTTCTGGGTTCTGCCACCACTAATATTGCCAGCCTGATTAGTATTTCTGATATAGGGATTGAGCTACAGGCTTGATAATTCACGCTTGGAAGGTTTTGGAGGTTCTGCAGTTGTGGCTTTTTTCTATATAGCTGCGGGCCTCCAGTAAGCTAATATGTACTGGGAATGTTGGTCGTCTATGGCATTTAATATTGGACCATCTCTAATTTCAACCTAGCCGTCCAACCAGTGGTGGTACTAATATTTGAAAAGTCCAGGAGCAATCAGCTGCATCCCATGTTTCTCAGCATGTCCTTATTCATTTTTTTCCTGTTTTCTTTTATGTCTTTTCATAGAAGAACAAGAAGTAGAAATAAATCTAATCTCTTCAAATTTGGGCTGAATATCTCGTGGCTGCACATGTTCTTCTTGTAGATTATATGTACAGACAGCTTCGAGGCTATCTTCTTCATTTCATTTTCCATTCATCTCCCTTGGATCATCCGTGGGTGTGTACTTGTTCTGGAATTCAGGCATCTAAAGCAGCATTCCAGTGGAGAAAGCATAGATGACATGCATTTGGGTCTGTGGTGAATCATTCTGAGTAATCTTCCAGGAATACATCATTTAGTTGTTTCTTGCTGAGTTTGTGGTCCGTATTGCTGGGAAATGCTTTGCTACCTGGCTACAGCAGCGTGCACTTTTGCAGCTTCACTACAGAGTTGGTAAGGTATCAACAAGAGTAATTAATTTACTAGAATCTGTAAAAATTTCTATCTGAACATCATTGCTGTATGAAATGAGGAACTGACTTGATGGCAAAAGTTATTCTGTGTATGCTTTGAAGGTTCTGGTAATTTACGATTCTGCATGGAAGGTTGAGGCAAGATTTCTCAGTGTTTCTTGGACCATTCGAGATGGCATTTCTTGTGACACCGAGGTGCTACTATCGATACAGAATGTTGCAGAGGCCGATTACTTTGCTTTCCAACAAGATTATCCTAGTTGTGCTCTGTCCTATGAAGTCATCTCTGACTTGGTGTTGTGTTCTGCGCCTTGTTTTGGTCAAAGGGACTCGTGCTTTATCGACAGGTTGCTGGGTGTAAATCCGAGCCTTGATGGTAAGTTGAAATGTGCTTTGTCGGGCGCATATGTTCTTGATGCTTATACGGGTGCAAGGTTAATCTTTTCCCAATTGGCGTTGGCACTTTGGCATAGTGGCTGCCTACATGCCAAATACTTGGACAATTGAGAAATTTCAACTTCTAAATCCATCTTTAAGTGAATTCTTAAAGTGCCGGTAGGCGTGTATAATCTCTCTGCAACCATCCGCGATCTCAGGGTGAATTATGACGTTTTAGTCTGAAAATCGCATGATCGGCGATTGGCAGACAAAAAAATTATTTGTATATGACTATATGGTTCTCTGTGGCTGCTGGCACACCCCCATTATCATCCTGAACCCGAGCGACAACCCGTTTGCGCCGCTCGTATATAGTTACTCCACATTGCCTAGGGATCCAATAAGGAATAAAAATATTCCCAGAAAAACAACAATATCACATGGCAAATCGAACGACAGAAAGTGATCAATCCATTTTTTCCATTGATTTATTTAAGTTCACGGTCCCCAATTAGAATCACTGAAACGCAGTCTATATTCTGTCAACATGTGTGCAAGAAATTGACTCTGTCAAGCAGTTTTACCTTTTTAAATCACCATTCTTCAAGGAACCGAAATAATAAATGGCCTGGGCACGGCCTAAAAAAAACAAAAGAGCATTACTTAAAAAAGCTAAAAATAGGAGCAGACTCTGGAGTGGTTAAGATATTCTTCCTCTTTGTTTCCCTCGGTTCATATTCAGAAGAGACAGCACGTTAATTTTCTCCACCAAATTCTCACGACTGGGTTCCTTTTCTAAGAAAAACAAATAATTTTGCGGATTCCCGGACAAAGAGAGAAGCTAGAAAGCTTCCCTAGCAAACTGCATCCTCAAGAATAAACCCTAGCACTCAAAAGTCTTCAGTCCTTGAAATCAATGCACATTCCTTCTACAACAAAAACAAATAGTAAAGGACAAACGAGAAGGTAAGAAGCATTGAAGGAGAAGCAAACTCTTTTTAGCTTATATAGTTTACTCCATATGGTAATCTATCTCTACATACAACCTAAGGGAAGATGGGAGCAACAAAAAAAGAAAAAAAGCTAGAGAAATGAACCCAACTGGATACTCGCCAAAAAGCCGTAAGATGAAGAAGTTTGAGTTCTTCTACAGCTGCAAGTCTGCGAGAGAAATTACGACCAGGAAGTCAGTAAGACATTACATACCATGATGCCATATCATTAAGGGGGTCTTTCATCTGCAACTCTTTTAGAGAAGTCAGTTATAGGGAAACTACAAAGCAGTAACACAGACTTCTCCTCTACTCTTCCTTTAGCATATGGGAGGGGACGAGATCTTGAAGAAGCCCATGATCCTTGAGTAAAGTAGACCCTGAGCTACTGCAAAAGCGCTTCTCATATTGTAGATAATTAATAGCAGCAGCATTTGTGGTGCTTCCATTGTAACCAAAACCCAAAGGTGAGAAGCTGTTGACAAAAGGTGGTTGTTGTCGACTTTGATGTTGTTGATAGAAAGATAGTCTCCTTTGCATTGGCATCACAAAGGCAGCGGTGGACGAGAAACCAGAATCAGATGCAGGTCCAGTAAAGCTTGGACGCGGCATGACCGGGCTAGGATGGGTGTGTTGACCTTCATAAGTGGTCACAACCACGCTTGGATCACTGAAAGACCTCTCCACTCTCTTCTTCACATTACACGAGGCAGTGGTGCAACGATAGTAACTCCTAAATCAAACACACAAGGGCAACGCAAACCCATTAAAATTTCGAATAATATTATGCAAATCTGGAGTCAAATGGCAAAGAAAGCAAAAGGGCGAGAAGAAAGGGTTCACATTGGAGTTAGTACCTAGGAAAAGGGCTATTTTTCACAGCTTTTTGGCCGTACTTTCTCCATCTGTACCCATCTTCCAGATGATCAACCTCGCTCTTTGTCATGAATGCGAACCTCGGCTCTCTCTGTCTCTTCTGATTTGTCTTCTTTGGTTTCAACCTGGAAACAAAGCACAAAACCGCCACACGAATTAGAAGAGCCGTGTCAAATTATGTTCACACACTCTAATTAACCACATGACACCAAAACCCATTCCTATTTTTTTGATTACTAGTCTGAAAGGAGTTCTTAATTTGTAGCATTACACCGAACACAAACACAAACACAAAAAAAAAAACCATCTTCCCCTCCGTCAAATGGGTATCCTCTAAACATAAAATCACAACAGAAAAACAAGTACCGCAAAATACTGAAAACTCACTCTTTCTTGTTCTTTTCTTGCTCCTCTACCTCGTCATCAACACTCTTATTAACAGGCTCATCATTCAAACCTTCACTAGAAGCCGATGAAATCGATGAAGAGTTAGGTGTAGCAGGCTGATTCAACAACTCTGGTGGCGACTCCGTAACTACATGAACATTTGGATCCTGCGCAGGTGGTATCGGTACCTGTATCATATCAAGCAAAGAAGGACTAAAGTCTTGCATACCCAGTAGCTCCATGAACCCTAAAGCGTTCTTATCTCCATCAACAAAGTCAAAACCATAGTGACCCTGCATAAATGGATAGCTAGTTTGAACATGATCATTAGTAGCACTAAATGCTGGAGATCCATCAAATTTCTCAACCTTCACAGCTTCTCTCCTCTCCATACCTCAAAATCAAAGCAGTAAAATCTTCATCAAACAAAAGAGAAGCAGTAGCGTGGGGTTTCTCTTCTCTTCTAGAGACCGAGTGTAGGGTAGGGTTGATCTGATTTTTTATGGTAGGTGGGCAAGTGAGAGGGAAAGCGAGAGTTTTGAGTGTGAAACTAAGCTGAGATTTTGGGGATGGAGAATATAATGGCGAGGTTTTTACTTTTTAGAGCTTCGGGTGGATGAGCGCGTGAGAATGTGAGAAGGCAAAATGGAAGCTGTTGACCGGAAATTGTAGGTCAAGTTATGTACGGATTGAAAACAGAACCGGTCGTCAAATTGAATGCATGAGCATGAGCTTTAAATTCTACTATATTTGTGGGTGTTGTGGACCGACACGCAAACTGATCGAAGCTTTCATGCGTAGATTTGACCGGAACCAGGTCGAAATGTGAACGGGATAGAGTACAGCAACCTGTGTGATGCGTACTGCTCACTCGCGTTAGCATCTATGCATGTGAACGGGGATGAATGGATGAATCCTCCAAGCCCAAAGATCTTTCCTTTTTCCTTTTCCTTTTCCCTTTCAACAGTCTTTTTTTCTCTCTCTTTTTATTTTTTATTTTTTTTGCAAAAAACGAGAATGGATGGAGTATTTCTTTTTGTTAGCTAGTGATGTGCCTGATTGGTACTATTTTATTGGCATGCTCTAAAGAACCCACCGTCATTATTATATTTATATAAGCAGTTATATATTGAAATTATACTTTTTATTTTTAATATTAGCACTTTAAAATAATACAAAAATTCAATTTTAATTTTTCTCAAAAAAATAAAAAATTTAAACAATTAATCCGACTATACTTTTTTTTTAAAATATTTTATTTTATTTTATTTTCTATTTTAAATTAATATTTTTTTAATTGTTTTATATAATTTTAATGCGCTAATGCAAAATGATTTTAAATTAATATTTTTTAATTGTTTTATATAATTTTAATGTGCTAATGCAAAATATAATTTTTAAATAATAATAAAATATTATTTTAATAAAAAATATTTTAAAAATATAATCATAATCACATTTTTAAATACCCATAAATTACAAAAGGATTGTGGTGAACTTGGTAATATCAACTAAAACAGTCTTTTTTTTCATTCACAGTTGTTTTGATTAAGTGTGTGGCTGTTTTTTTAAAATATAAATTACATCTCATAAAAATAAAAAATACATATTTTTTATATAAGTATAGTTAAAAAATCATTAGATCTCCGAATCAAACACCCTCAAATCAGCCACTAGTGCTATGGGTGGTAAAGCACAAATTCTCACTCACTGTTTGGTCATGGGTGAATACTAAAAACTATTTAATTCTATTTATTTTTAAAATATTTAATATTTTTAAATATTAAAATTAAATTAAAAATATTTTTTAAATACAAAAATAAACAGAATTTTAACAAACTTCCTTCTGGCAAGAGTATTTGGAAGGGAATAAAAGCTCCTGCGGATGGAATTCTTTCTGTGCAGCAACAAATATTGCGTAAGAGAAACATAGCCGAAGGTCAGTATGTCAGCAGTCAAAGAAGCTGATCGATGAAACTTTATTTATTAATTATTATTTCTCTCGATAGCAATTAAAAAAAAAAAAAGAACCTAAAGTCGATCATGATAAAGAAAGAGATCGGAATCAACTCGCCAAAAGGTATGAAATGAGATAAGTTATTATTATGCAGATGGTATCCGTGGGCTGCAGGCTTCCTATCCAGAGTCGGTGATAGCGGCCGCTTCTTTATTCTCTTTGAAGTGATTTCTGCAAATCACCATACAAGAAAGATGAGAATTCTCTTTTTTGTTGAGAACTCTTTCCTGAACACGGTCAGTGGCCACCGTGTGGAAAATGTTCGGCGCGGGTGGTGGAAGGGCGGAACCCTAGCATGATTCGCGTGCAATCCCACTCACCCCTGCAGGCTTCCATTATCTGGTTCCTCGCTTTTCCTCTACCACTGTTCTTTCTTCTTCCTTGCAATTGTACTTCGATATTTGCATGAGAAGGTCACCAAGCTATCTACATGACAAACCCCCTTTTGTACTATTTTAATTGCTTGTTTATTTATGTGTTTTATAAGTTTTTTTGAAAAAAAATTATTTTTATTTTTATTTTTATTTTAAATTAAATTTTTTGTATATTTTTATATTGTTGATATAAAAATAAATTTTAAAAATAATAAAAAATAATTTAAAAATCAACCATTAAAAAAAAAAAGTTCTCATTCAATGTTTTGCCGAGTAAATTCCAAACCAGAAAATTACCATAGATCCACGAAATCTTTCTTTCTTTCTGTTTTTGTTTCTTTTTCATGGAGTCAAATTAGGCCACGATACACGGCCCGGTGTCCCTACCATCTTCCCTAGGCGGTTGGCCCTTCTTTATCGTACACGTGTTTTCTCTTTTGGGCCATTTTAAGTGGGTCCTTCAAAATCCACTGGCGCGATTCACGAGTTTAATCCAACGGTCCATCGCAATTCTTTTTCATTACACGCCAGCACGTGCCCTTATTTGTGCCGCAGAGTTTGGGTTTCATTACCGTCAAGATGAGAATCATGCGTGCATGCATACCCTTCTTTGCTTTAAAATAAAAAAGGTGTAATTATTATATACCCCATTCCTAAATTCATGCTGTGGTTTTTTCTTGAGACTGTATATAAAAAGAATATTTTATAAAAAGTTAAATGATTTATAGAACAAACTTTGTTATATTTCATTCTTTTATAAAATACGAATCTAGTCTTTTTTATGTAGCTGTTTTTTCATAAAAAGCACTTGTTATTGTGTATTTACTTGTACAGTATTTTTTAATATCTCCAGAGGTTTATTTGGAATATTTTTTTATATATTAAAACTAGATTCTTTTATAATACTTTCTTTTTAATAAATGAAATTACGTGTACCAATTAATTAATTATGTATATATATTGTTTGTGAATTTTAATTATAGAAAGATTCTTTATGGTAAAAATAACGCAGGGATATTACTATAAAAGGATCGTTAATTAAAGCTAGGAGGGGCTATTTTTCCAAAAAGCAACAAAAGTTTAGAAGAAACCACATTTACCAGTACATGAATCGGGGAAAACTGTTTCTCATGATTTCTCTGTTTTTTAATTATTTAAATGACGTATAATGTATACAGTCATTTATTAATTGTGGTTTAAAATTGTTTTTTTAATATATTAAAATTATATTTTTATTTTAAAAAATTATTTTTAATATTAACATATTAAAAAGATATACAAACATAAAAAATTAAATAAAAATATTTTTTTTAAAATAAAAAAATATTATTATTGACTAGTGAGATTTTTTAAAATAAAAAAATATTATTACTAATAACAACACTAATGTACTCTGCAAGCCTTATATATATATATATATATAAAGAGCATGTTCAACCAGACACGCACACATATCACGTGTTAGTGAACCTTAAGTTAATTAGAGGTAAACTCACCGAAAAAGATTTCAAAAAAATCAACTTGAGGAAGGAGTGTAGGGGACAGAGAAATAACAGGAGTGTTCTTGACTGGTGTTGCTTCTTGGATACGTTTTGGGGCTCAGAACGAGACAAAGAAGACGCGAAAATTTAAATATCCAATTACTTGTTTTGATGTGTAGAGTCACCATCCAAACTTTCTTTCTCTACTAGCCTCCACCCTTAGCCTCGACTGCCTTGGTTTCTGGATACAGCCCAGCAATAATCTTTGACTATGCTCACCAGTTTTTGCTGTCATCGTTACCGCTCAAGCTTATCTTCTGCCTCCTGGTCAAATCTTTGAATCTGTTACCTTTCGTTAACTTCATTGATTATTTCTCCATTTTTAAAAATTTGGGGCTATAACCTCTTTTATTTATCTCTGTGTGTGTGTGTTGTGAGAGAAGATGACTGCCCACATGGATTGGACAAAAATTGAAGTTCATCATATGATGGGGACTTTGATTGCAAATTCCACGTGAATCTCGTAATCTAACAGCCAAAGTTCAATGAATCTTCCATCTGGGTCCTTATTTTACATACCTTCTCTTAATCTTGCTGATTAATAGCGTTTCTCGTAATCATAAAGATCTTTGATTTTAATTGGTGTGTTCTCGGGTTTGATTGAGAAAAAACAATACGAAAAGCTCACAAAAAACCTGCTTCTGTCATCGCTCCAATCTTCTCAATCGCAGCAAGGGAAGCTCGAAATGCGAGCTTCTCTGATATACTATAGGGAAATTGTATGTTTCTAATTAACACCCTCATTTGTTTTATTATTATTTTGATAAATTAAATACACCCTCCACTATTGGCATTGGGCTAATAATCCATCTAGCTGCTGTTTGCCCTTGATTTTATTTATTTATTCATAGATTTTTATAGATTTATGAACCCACCTAATCCTTGCTTTAATTTAAAATGAACCAACTTGATGTAATCCCTCCCATGACAAACAAATCTCTTTATCTGTAACGGCAGGTAGAGCTTCTTGAAGTTTGTTTGACATAACTGAGCACTTTCTTTCATGTAAGCTCGTGAATGAGTAACTTTTTAGCCTTATAGTCCTTTCGTGTATCGTCGATCTTGGACTGATGAGGATTTTTCAAAACAAAGCTGGGATCAGAGCTTCACACGGGGAGGTCAAAGGAAGAACAATGGTCTAGTCTTTATCTCGGTGGTCGAATCGATTTTTTTTTTTAATTCTTGAATTCTTTTATTTTTTGTTTTAAATTAAATTTTTATATCTTTTTAATATCTTAATATAAAAAATATATTTTTAAATAAAAAATAACCAGATATTTAAACATGTACAGCAACCTGACATTATTACATATTTATTAAGAGGTCTCCGGAATTGGTCAAATATATATAAAAGGATCCAAATTTAATGCGTGTACCCATCGTCCTGATAATATAGACACCAAATCAAGGGGGTGTTTGCATAATGGAGCCCGTAGTATCTTCTTGGCTAGAAAGGGTCAAGCAACATGCATGCTCCTCTCTTACAAGGGCTCGTTTGATTTACACGCCCACCATTGCCTTCTCAGTCTCAGGAAATCCAAATCGGAATGTGGACTTCTGTTAATGCATATTAGCTCAGTGCAATGACAACCAAGGCTGCCATTTATTAAAAAAAATCCAATTATTTTATTTTATTTAAGAGTCTAGGCTTTGTAGCCTCCTTGTTTTTGTATTTTCAAAGTAGTTTTTAAAAGAAATTAAAAAAAATTTCTTTGAATTATTCTGTGTATGTTTTTAGTATTTTAATATAATGATGTAAAAAATAAAGTTTAAAAATATTATTTTAATATATTTTTAAAAATAATTATTTTCACAATATCAAACCAATTTTTAACATGCTTGTGTGGAGTTGGGTTACGAGTGGACCTACAATGGGTTGGAAATTATCTGTATATCATACCCTGACGAGGATTGATTTAACAATCCTTCACGGGTTCGAATGCCTTCTCTTCTTTATTTTACGTATCCAAGCCTTAAAATTTAAATTTGCATCGGCAAGCACCGAGGCTAGCAAAACGAAAGGAAAATCAAGACACTCAGAATGAAAGGGGCAAAAAACAAAAGAGCCCATTTTCAGTACACTTTTCCAATCTCACAAGGTGTACTAGTGCGCGATCAAAGCTAGTACATTCCAGAAAGAATGCTGACGGACGTCGGCCCATACACTGGCAATGCATTGTTCACTGGAAATGTACATGGGCCAAATGCAACCGGTCATCGGCTGCCGCCACCATTTCCGTGCTCGGTTTGCTCAAGTATTCTTTGACAAGAAGGTGCAAACCAAATTGATTTGCCATCGAACGATAGGCACACACGGTCAATTTCATCATCATCAAAACCGCACGCCTCCTGGACAAGTCCATTCCATCCCCATACCGCCTATCCTTGAAAAAACCTTGTGATTACAGCACATCGATCTTATCATCATACACGAAGGCCATCATTGAGCTTGAACCAGTACGAAACAGTATCATCACATTACATTATTATTTCATATCGCATCAGAACATGTTTGATTAGCTGCCTAATCACATATCAAAGTAGTATCACAGCTAAGGCAGAGCCATTCCATGCCCCCACTTTGATGCAATATGTAATTGGAAACTGTTGCAAGATATTGATAAAGCGTTGCTGATATCATGTGATAGCGATCTTGTTAACCATCTTCGCCACTGTGCTTGGGTTTTGGCCCGGCGAACGTCTTTTCCAGGCAGGTTGGTCTCCTGGACCCACCTGGTTTTTCTTTCACCGCTTCTTTCCATCTCCGTCGGGCTTCAAATCAAAACATCTAGCCTAAGCTAGAGCTACGTTCTAGTATTCTCCCACTAGAATTAAATGCGTAAACAGTAACCTACTAAGGCCTGGCCCCGTGTTTTGATGGAGGCAACCCAACAAATGCATTAAAAAAATATTAGCGTTGCTTTTCTTTTCTTTTTTATTGTTGTAAAATATTTGCAATAAGAACTAACAACTTGAATGGTGTATAAAATAAAATTAATCGCCAACCATTTGCATTAATAAATGAAAATAAAGTGATCTGCCATGTTTGACTGTTTGACTTTACAGGCCATTAATAAATTGGCCACCCCGTTTAAATAGCAGTTCGGTTGAAAAAACATAACGCCACCGCTGTCTTAACTCATTAGCTCAAATGCCAAAGAATAGACCGTCGAATGATTAACTCACGAAAAATAAAAATAATCAATGAGTTAAATGAAAAGACAACGACATGATATATTAACTCGTGATAGTTCGTGAAATTAATGGATGTGGTCACGAAGATTAAGATAATGAATATGATCACAAAGAGTTAAAGAGTCATTGGGTCTCAACCTTTTCTTTTCTTTTCTTATTCTCCTCATGATTAGATCCTTATTGGGTCTCAACTAACCTCAGGTTCGATTAAAAGAAGGAAATGAAATTAAAAAATAATTAATATCAACAGATATTTATCGGCTGTCATTTTTTCCATCTTCTTTGATAATGTCATCAATTATTACTAATTTGTGAAGATCGAAGATGGTGCCCTTATTAAATGCTGAGACCAGCCCAAGTCTGTCTGATGAGCCTATCAGACATGGCCCAAAAAACAAATGTGGCCTTCCTCAACCATATACTTCCAAAGTGTCCAAGACTGCGCCGCTCTTATTGTTTGGAGTTGGGCCGAATAAGTAACCCTATATGCATGCATCTAGTAATGATGTATCATTTTTTTTAAATATTTTTTTATTAAAATAATATTTTTTGAGATTTTTTAATTTTGATATTGATATATAAAAATATCTTAAAAAATTATCAATTTAATAATTTATAAAAAAGATTAATTTAAAAAACAAGATTGGATATTAGAAATGTTTCTCGACCATCATGTCAAAATTATAGTCCACCAATCATATATTTTTCTTTTAAATAAGGTGTTTGAAATCTTTGGGATTGAATTCAATTTAAAAATTAAATAAATTCTTGTGTTTGGAATTTTTTTGACAATATTGATTTGAATTTCAAATAGAGTTTAAATGGAGTTCAAATCATAAAAAATAAACAAAAATAAATCAGAAAGAAATACAAGTTCAAAAATACTCTCTTTCATTTCTTCAACAAAAAACTTATCTTTACTTTAGATTGTCCATATACACCTCCTCCTTTTACTTAATAATATGATTTTCCAGTGACTCCTCAATGAAGTGGACTTGGCACAATGAACTTAATTTAGTGTAGTTCACAGGATGTGGTCTGCTTATTCCTCTCTCCTTTGTAAGAGAGCTCATGAACAAATCAATGAAAATCAACGGATATATATTTCCTTCCTATACAATTTAGTAGTGTAGTTCACAGGATGTTTTTTTTTTTTTTTGTTATCCATGGTCTCCCACTTCACAGTGGCATGGCTTTTATTCCCAAAACATACCGAAGCAATGGCTTCTTTACATTCATTTGCATCTCAACAAACATATTGAATTTCCATGCTTGTTAATTCATATAATTATATATGGTAGATGACAGTCGTTTTCCAAAGAAATATGATGACTTTGAATTGGCAGGCGCTTATTTTTTGCATTCTTTTGGGGTCTCGGAGCTTTAACTGATCCTTGATTACAAAGGCACGAACTGTTCATATCTACCTGTACCAGGCTGGAAAGGAAGAAGAAAAATTAATCCATTTCCAACCACATCACAGTAATGCGAATTTTCTAAAGGAGATCATAGTTAATCTGGGCACTGATCGGATATTGATATTGAATAGCCTTTTAGGTGTGTGTGTGTGTGTACATACAAGTCAAGCACCGGGAGTGCATGGCGTCCGTAATTTAACATCTGATCATATAACTTTCGAGAGTGGAGAAATTGAATGCATGGTATTTGAATCATGGAGCTGTGGAAAATAACATTAGTGAATTTGATGATCAATTCACTCGTTCATCTCGCTAATTAAGCCACTTTCACACAAAGCTGCTGCGTGCTGTTAAATATTCTAGACAATCACGTCCACATATATGTAGACTTACAAAACGAAGTCCTATACGTACGTACTGCTATGAATAACATAAAGGATAGCAGATTATGAGACAAAAAGGAATTAAAATTTAAAAGAGAGAGAGAGAGATGATAGCCTTTACAAAATGAATTAGTTTACTACTCGTCCGAACCTGTTAATTCCTGAACCATTATCTGCATGACTTTCACTCTCGTTTGCAAAGACAAAATGTAATCAGCTGTCTCTCTGAAAAGCCCATCCAATCCCAAGGATTCGCCATTAGGGATGAGCTTCTTCAGGGTTCTAACTCTTCTCCCAACACCATACCCAGCCCTTCTAGGAGAACCTTCTACACGTGCCATTCTCTTCATCAAAATCCTTCTAGGTCTCTTGCCCTCGGCATGTCGTCCGTGTTTTTGTTTCCTCGGTGGGCATCTTCTCTTGGCTTGTCCTTCCATGACTTTTTCCCACAGGGTCTCGTTTGCCTTGACGTCCACCATTTCTTCTTTTCCTTGGACCTTATCCTTGAAAGAAACAAGAAGAGATTGTTCGCCTGCTGAAACTCCCATTACAGAAAAGGTCTCGAATGAATCACTAACTTGCGCAGGCCTTCCAAATTCAATTGCCGAGACAGGACGTTGTATTGCATATGCCACACTTGTGGCCACTTATATACGGTATTTAGGCGGGGGTAATAATTGGTTTGCCAAGTGAGGATAATGGAAATAAATTAAGGTAGGGCCCATGAACAAACGCAGTTTCATAGAAGGACTCCAAGGGAACGGGATCAATGAACGAGGAAGAGCCAAGTGTACCTAAGGGTGTTGCTTGTTGCTGTGGACATGTTCTCCAGCTCAATGCACATGCAACCACATGATTCTTCACCACCACCCAACTCTCTAATCTAAACCTCCATCTTTCGTAACACCCTCCCATCTCATCAAAACACCCTGGATTATTCCTCTCCCACTTTCCAAATTCAATGTATAATATATATAATTTTGAGTTTGGGGTCCTTCATATTCTTATCTCCGCCTCAAAAAACATGGCATCCTATATATATATATAAACCCTAAGGCTCATGGTGGTTAATTAGCTCATGTTTCCAAATAGGAGAGCCCTAGATTATCGAACTACAAGCATTTGCAGAGCCTGTGATTAATTAAATATTGTTAATTACTTTGTCCACACTTGTGTTAACAAATGTGGACAATTTGGATCCTAATGTTGGGATAAGGTAGATTTTCTTCTGACATTCATGAACCCCAATACTTCCCATCAAAATGATCATGTCCTGGCACGTCTGGTTCGGAGCACACCAAGACAAACTTATCCGAGACAATCTGACAGACAAAACTGCATGCATCCGCATTAGTGATGCTACGGAAGACGTTAATTCCAGGATTCTAGATGACGGAGTCTTCATCTTTAATCTCCTAGCTCGTTTATAGCATTAAGTACTTTGATTCTGGAAGGGTTCTGGTCCTGGCTGCCTTAAGAATTACATTTTATAACTGGTCATTCTTTCTTCTGCTCTTGTTGAGAGCTAGCTCAAGATCAATAGAACATGCACACACATGCGCAGTTGATAAAGCAATTGATTTTTATCTGGACATAGCTAGATCAAGCACAACATTAAGTCCAGTTACATGCATGGTTCTTAACATGTGCACCCATGGCTCGATGTGGACTTGGAGGCTATATATATGTTTTGTAATGGAATTCAATCAGTAGTGGGTTTCCACTTCCATATGTGCACTGCAAGTAACGAACAGGTAGGGAGCAATATTACGTAGCATGTTCTCTTCCTGTCATCCAGTTGTTGGTACATGTTTGCTTTGTTTGTATTGGTAGATAAACTTACAATACAAAACAAACAAATCTTGACGGCTAGGCACATGGATTTATCCATAGCTTCATAGCTTGCATTATTAGTTTATTTTTTTCTGAGACTTTGTGGACGATTATATACCATTGAATAAGTGTTATTCTTGGATTCGAAGCACCAAACACATACGTTTGAAATTAATATTTTCCTTTTCTCATTTTCTTCCTTTTCTTTTTGATCTTGAATTACCAGCTGGTTGCAAATTAAACGCGTCCCTCCCTCGTGGCTAAGTAGCTAGCATCCTTGAGGGTTTTGGGCTAGACTTTCACTTTGACAGAACTTAACTTTGTGCCTTATTGTTGGAAGCATCATCGATCCATGTTAGCTATATGAACCAGAAAATAAAAAGGGAAACCTTTGTATTCTTTTTTATCCAGCAACAAAAGTTTTAATTTTGATTACCTTTATGTTTTGATAAATTATATTTAGTACTAGGCTATTTATATTAGTGCGTGAGTCTATCATCCATGTATAGTTAACTTGGATCATGTTTGGATAAGTGACTTGATGTAATTATGTAAAAATTTGAATTTTTTTTTAGTATTTTTATATTATTTTGATATAAAGATATTAAAAATAAATTTTAAAATAAAAAATTATTTTAATATATTTTCAAGTACAAAATAATAGCTGACATAATATTAAACAATACCATCTTACTCTTTAAATCTTTATAATTCGGGTATTTGTTAAGATAAAAATATATTTTTTATAACCACATAATCATTTTTGTAATAAAAGATTTTAAGAATCATAATATTTCTTAAATATTCATGTTTATAGATTATTTAAATTTGAAAGCTTTGGATAGCCGTCTTCATTTCCATTCGAACGTGCGGTGATGAAACCCTAACTTCTTTTTAGCACATGCAAAGAAACTAATTAGACCAACTACCCACGTGCTAGGGAATGATAATCCAGGGAGAAGAAGCCCTACTAGGTGGTTGGGGGCCTCCTGGCCCATTGAACGCGCCTACGACACCACTTTTCTTGCATCTCGTGCTGGATTCACAATGTGCTGTCAATTCTTTTAGTAATAAAATGGCACCCTATTTTATTGTTATCCAATAGTTTCCCTAATTAGTTAAATTTATTAGATAGTTAACCTTAAAAACTTGAAAAATTTAAATAATAAATACAAACTCTAAGAAAAACAAAGCAAAATTCTAAATCATCAAAATGCTAAGGGATGAGAATAAAAAAATACAATAAAAAATTCAAACCAAAAGAAATAACAATTAAAAAATATAAAAATAATTTAAAATCAAATACTGATGGATAAAATTAAAAATAAAATTTAATTATAAAAATGATTGAAAATAAACAAATAACAACTAAATAAATAAAAATTAATTTTAATATCAAAATTAAATGAAACTAAATAATAATCGACAAAATTAAAGAAAAATCAATAAAAAAAATAGCAATAAGTAAGATGAACACCAGATTAAGAGCAAAAAACAAGTTAAATAACATATTTATATTTTACCAAAGGAAATCAGAAGAAAATAGTAGGGGGAATAAAAAGTTTACTGAGCTCAATTAATATGTATTGTTCACAAGCCAACACTAATAGAAAAGGAATGGGAGGGCATTTTCATTGTTGCTTTAGAAGGTGGTGTTTAGTAGTGGGGTAATGCCGCACATACCTGTCTAAAATATTAAAACTAACTTTATAGGTTTTTTAAAAAGAAAGTAATATGAGAAGATAAAAAAGGGTTTTTTTGTAAGTTCAAGAATTTTTTTCATATAAAAGTAACACCAGCTTTACATTTTGCCCTTAAAACATAAAAAAACCAAATTGCCTTATATAATACTTTGAAATATTTTTATTATTAGAATAATATAGTTATTACATTATGCATTTAAGAAGTAAAAAAATCAATCTGTCACTAATTAATTTCAAAATGTCCAGTGAATTTTTATAAAAATATCACTGTACACCCGAAACTAAAACTAAGATCAATAATTCTTTTTTGTTGAAGAGTAAAATGATAATTATACTCATGTGGTGAATGATAAATTATATCTAGATGAACAATGAATATTCTACATGGGTTTTAAGTTTTTTTTTTTATTTTTGTAATGTTCTTTTAATGGATGGATTTATTATAAACATAAATGTTAGGATATCTACACACGCACAAGTTGTGCATGAAAAACGTGTTCCGCATGTGCACGGTAATTTCTTGCATATTCGGCCATATAGATTGAAAAATATACAAAAAGTAAACTTCATTTGTTCTATAAATTCGTCATTTTTCGTTGAGCTTGTAAATGGTATTTAGTTACAATGTTCAGGTTTAAAAAATTCGTTATTTATATATTTTATCTTGAAAAATAATATAAATTATAGTGTAGATGATTATCTAATATAATATTAAATTTTTATTGATCAGATGATATAAGTTGAAATCTTACTATTTTATTTCATTTAATAAAAATTAAATTTTAAATATTGTAAATTTTAAATCAAATAATTTTTACTTGAAAATCTGTTAATTGGATTTCTTTATTTTGAGACGAGCTGCTGGGCCTTTTTGTACAGGCTGTAGCCTGTAGTTAAGTTTGTGTTGGAACAGTGGCCCGTCTGTTTACTATTCGGCTCTGCCATGCTGTGGTTTCCCTCGAACACTGTGATGTGCCATGCTTATTACATTATATTGTGATATGAAGCAACGTAATTAATTTTTTTTTATAACAAACTATGATGTTGTATTATAAGTAGTTTATTATTATTTAGTTAAAATAACCATAAATTATACAAATTCATTTTAAGATTTTTTTTAGCTATTTTAATAAAAATACCACCGCCTACATTTTAAATTTGAAATGTCACGTGAGTTCAATATAATTTTTGTACTTGTATTTATTTTAATTTAAAAGTCCTGCAAAATCAATTTATATTTATCTATCATATCATGAATAGTATACAACAAGGTAAAGTGCTTATTTTTAATATTCTTAATTATATGTATTTACCATAAAAAAATAAATGCGGGTTTGTTCTTGATAAAGGTTATAGTATTTGTTTTTGTGGGTATGAGGTTGAGAATATAATATAACTATATTTCAAATATTTGAATGGATGTCGAGGTAAGTATGCACTAATTTCTTCTTTCTACTGAAACATAGGGAATAGATCATCCTTCTATATGCTAATTTTTTATTTAATGAATGTTGAGATTATTGTTTATTTTAAAATAAAATTATATATATATATATTAATTTTATCACTTAATATTTTACTTTAATGATTTTGAATTAGTAGTTACAGTATACTATAATTTTTTTTTTTTTATGAAAACATTGCAATCTCAAATAAATTTCCTGATGTTATTTCTTTACAAATATTTATTTCTATTACTATATTACTGGATAAAAAATAATTTAAAACAAATAAATTTTTTAAACCTAGTGAAATGCATGACCTGTGTCACAGGTTTTGCAAGTCGAACCATAAAACTTGAGTTGGTTTAATATATCATCATATTAATATTTTTAAAAATATTATTTTGATTTTTTTTAATTAAGCCATGATTACACTATCTATTTGAATTGTTTTTAAACCCACAAAATCAATTAAATTATGTAAAATCAGTTCTCGTATAAAGAAAATTAAGGTAGAATATTTCAAAATTAACTTTTTATGCTTGATTTGACAATAATGACAAGTATTTTTCTTTTTTTTTTTTAAATCTCATATACAATAATGACAAGTATTTTTCTTTTTTTAAAAAGAAT